CTTATGAAGCCTTCCCAACTTCTGTTTGAGGTCAACATTTTTTTTGTGAGACTTAATAAAAATGAGACTTAAAAAGGTTTTAGTGTCAAGCCAAATTTAATTTAGATTTCAAGATAATTCATAAATTCAATGCGCTAGATCAGGGATCCTCAAATCTGGCCCACAAGATCCACTTTCCTGCAGAGTTTAGCTCTAACCCTAATCAAACACACCTGAGCAAGCTAATCAATGCCTTCAGGATCATTAGAAAATCACAGGTAGGTGAGTTTGATCAGGGTTGGAGCTAAACTCTGCAGCGCACTGGCCCTTCAGGGCAAGATTTGAGGAACCCTGCGCTAGATGATGGGTAACAGTCAGTGCATGTGTTCACTGAGGATGTAACAGCATATGCTCAACAGGTGTAATCTGCTTTAATCTGGACTTCTTACTGACCATGTAGATTTGGAAGATAGGGACTTAATGAAAGCGAAAAACAGACCTGCTGTTGCTCTTTTAATTATTTTTATAAGTTTTACATTAAATGAAGTCTTCTACTTGTCTTTAAAGTCATTGTATCACGTGGAAAGAGATTCTATTTAGATTCGATTATTGGATTGGGGGTTGCAGATTACCAACCCGCAACTTCAGTACACTGTGAAGAGAAGCTACTGGAGTCAACAGTCTAGCTTTTACATGTATCGGGGACATCGATAATCTGGTAAGATATTTCTCTCTACAGTATGTAGGGAATTTTTAAAAAATGCATTTATTTATCATAGCTAAAATTGGAGGCAACCCAAAAGGTCAAAGCCTTAACGAAAGGAAAGGCAGTTCCAAATTGTGATGCAACAAAATGCACTGCTTTTGAAAAAGATTTACTCAATTTTTACATGGGATTTTTGCTTGGTGGCTATATATATTTTAAAAATCTTTTATTATTTACTTGAATGTCAATATCAGTCCTTTTTGACAGTCAATATAACACATTGCTTAAGTAGATTGTCACAGTACACACCATGTTGATTTTGCATCCAACGGTTAGTGTTCAATTAATTGCATCATATAATCCAGTGACATTGTGACAACTCACAATTAAAATAGAACAGATTCAACCCAATGTTATGAAGACCAAAGCGCTAAGGAGCATTAAGGAGGGGAACAAATAGATTCTTACAATTAGTTTGGTTGTCATGTATTTTTAAAGCTTTTATAAATATGCATTTCATAATGCTTGAGGAAATGTTGAGGCACAATTCGTTTGCTGTACATGTGAAGCTAATTTTGATGAATAATTAAACTTATGGTACTAATATACTGTCCAATACAGATCCTAACAAAATATGTTCTGGTGTTTGAGTTTTGGGAAGGGTGTCATATATTTCACGCTCTGAAATGGAATATAATTCATGGAGATGCTAGTTGGTGCCATTATTCTGTGGTATTGTGAGATTAGCTAATAGGCCTGACAGCAAAGTACTATATTTGGCGCAAAAACAAACCAACATGCTACTTTAACTTCTAACATTAAGAGACCACAGTCAGATTAGACATCACATTGAATTTAATGTGGATTAAAAGGAAGGAATTACAGTCTTTGCGATGGTACACGCTGTATAAAGGTCCTAGATCACATATTCTTTGTCTACATAAAGGTTATTTTTTTCTGAAAGAATCCGTCGGCTGAACAAATACTGCAATCTATTAAACGCACTATTTTTTTTTTTATCCCTCTCAGCCTTGTTTTCAATGGTGTCAAAAATGTAATATGGCGCTACTCTCACTAAGGTCCATGTTAGAAGCATCGTGCTCTAGGGGTACTTTTTGGCAAGACACAATGGGTATGTTGCATGAAACACATTATGTGGATAATTGGTCAGCCAAACTGATGTATGCCAATCCAAATTTGCAGAAGCCCATGTACTAAAGCATTGAATCTTTGAGAAGCCAATTGCACTTCTTATTTCCCCAGGTGTTCACCATGTTCACCAGCTTTGTGGATGGAATATTCTGTTGCTTTACAGGGAAGTCTACTAACGTTGTGGTACCTATTGAGTCCTCTGAGCCCACCGATGGTTTTGAATTTGTTGAGGTAAAGCCAGGAAGGGTTCTGAGAGTTCGACATATTATCCCAGACAGACCAGTGGTTGAGGAGCCAGGGACTGGGGAAGGGGGTACGGTCAGCTGCAAGCGCAAAATCTCGGTGTACCGAAATGGACAGCTTCTGATTGAGAATGTCAATGAAGCCACCCATCCAGAGTTGGTCCGCTATCAGAATGGAGACAGCACTGTGGATACGGATGTGTCCAACTGTGAGGCTCCCACCGCAGGCCAGGCTGCTGAGCCCACACCGGGGTCGGGGGCCGCAGGACCGGCTACAGATACCAAACCTGCACCGCAGCAAGTGCAGCGCAGACGGCGCAAACCCAAACGCTCCATTGTGATTGACTGTGAGCGGAAGATCACATGCTGCAAAGGTACTCACCCCGACGTGGCCTTGTTTTTCATACATGGAGTCGGGGGGTCGTTGGATATCTGGGGAAGCCAACTGGACTATTTCTCCCAACTTGGTTATGAGGTCATTGCCCCGGACCTGGCCGGCCATGGTGCAAGTTCAGCTCCTCAGATTCCCGCTGCCTATACCTTTTATGCTCTGGCTGAGGATGTTAGAATCATCTTCAAGCGATATGCAAAGAGGCGGAATATTTTAGTAGGACACTCTTATGGGTAAGGTAATTTACTAATTTGCCTGATAAATGCGGATACATTTCCCCACTCGTTTGAGCATTTTCTTTCTTGTCTCGCAGTGTCTCGTTTTGTACCTTCCTGGCTCATGAGTATCCGGAACAAGTTCATAAAGTTGTGATGATTAACGGTGGAGGTCCCACAGCACTCGAGCCAAGTCTCTGCTCTGTCTTCAATTTGCCCACATGTGTCCTTAATTTCCTGTCTCCGTGCCTCACCTGGAGCTTTCTCATGTAAGAATAATCGTCCACAGTCCTTGCCTTGCCCTTTGCCAGCTTAAACATGAGTGTCTATGTTTGGTAACTACCTTGTCCATTTAATGTAATAGTTTTTACTGAAGGCTGGAATTTGCTACACAACTTTTGCCCAGATTTTTGACCCGGTTTACAGTCTGGACGCTAGTTGCCCAAATCAAAGACAGTCTGCAGATTTGATTTGAGTCGTCTGTTTATTTGTGTAGTGCATGATGGGCACAGTTTAAAAAGTTTGTC